TGGTTAATTGTTCTAACTGTCAGGAAGTTTCTCCTTAGTTCTAAGTTGCTTCTCTCCTTGATCAAATGAATGGAATGAATGAATGGATTCCCACTGGAGCATTCTGTTACCAAAAAAGACCATTTGAGTCTTGCTTTTATTAAAACCCTGTCATATTTATTTATCACATTCATATAGCTGCCCATTCTCAAGGAGGCTACAGGCTAAAACATATGAAGAATGGTTGTAGGAATTGGGTATGTCTAGTGAAAAAAAATGATTAGGTAGGACAACATGATAGCAGTGTTCCAATATTTGAGGGGCTGCCACAAAGAGAGGCTCAACCTATTTTCCAAAGCACCTGAAGTCAAGACGAGAAGCAATGTTTGGAAACTAACCATGGAGAAAACCAACCTAGAATAAGGAGAAATTTCCTGGCAATGAGAACAATAAACAATAAACCAGTGGAACGGCTTGCCTTCATAAGTTGTGAGTCACTGGAGGCTTTTAAGAAGAGTCTCCTGCTTGAGCAGGGGGTTGGGATAGAAGACCTACAAGGTCCCTTCCAACTAATTCTGTTCTGTTCTGTTCATCTCACCACTTGGGGAGATTACGTAATAGTCCTGCAATAGGAAAGGGTATTAGTGTGTCCACCATTGACTTTGACACGATAACGCAGTCCCGGAGGACGAGCATATGAAGCTCCATTTGCGCATGTGAAACCATCCCCTCCCCCCACCGCAACCAGTATCTACGGTGGTTGGGTCTGTGGTGGATCCACAGAGCCAGAAAGGTTGGGGGCCGCTGTTCTAAAATATACATGAAAATCAAAACATTAAATAAGTGTAAGTAAGCATATGCAGAACAAACTGTAGCATGCAATTCTTTAGAGATATCACAGTTACCCTTAACATTTTTAGTGGAGCAAACATTAACTTTGCATATATTTAGAAATTCTGTGTTTTAAACTCCAGTTTGACCAGGCATAGGATCAATAAATACATTTTTGGAGATATCCAGGATATGAATTAAAAATTATTGTTCAAATAGCAGGGCGTCTTTATTTGCATAGTGTATTCTTTAGAGATATTCAAGATCAATGTTTAAGAAAACTGTTCTGGGAGAGAGGGAGATGCAGCCAAACAAATTTTGTACGTTTTGTAAGTTTGTGTGTGTGTATGTGTGCCTGCGTGTATATGCTGCTTACCAAAGTTAAAAAAGTAACATATTTTTCCTGTTCAAGGGAATAATTGCTATCAGATAATTGCTACAAGAGGAAAATGGGTCTCTAGTATCTTTTTACATCTTCTCTGTTTATCCCAATATTGTACATGCCTTAATAATGAATACAAATGGTATTCCCAAACCAAGTTGTGCAGCAGTATATCCAATAACAATGAATAAATTTTACAAATGAATGCAAACAATAATTGGAGTTTATGTACTTTCCAGTTAGAACCATAGAATCTCTTTAATTTTTCACCTTTCTTTAAATCAGGAAATTGACATTTTATTTATTGGTCTTGCTTTTCATTAAAATTGTGGCATTTTTTTATAAAAAAAATCTAGCCTCCAAAGAGCTCTGCAATTTGCAAGAACAGACTTTCCATCATTTCTCCCTTTTCACTCCTTACTAATCCACCCCCATTTCAAACTTACAAGGTTCAGGATTGTGCAATCTCCATACCTCCCCCTTCCTTACAGTTCCCATCCAAAAAAATTAATAATAACCAGAAGCACTCCTCTTACAGCACCAGGACTAGAATTACTCATTCATTCAAGCTCAGGCATTCACCCAGTATTATTTAAGGGCTTTCTCTCTAGGAATCATCTCTGCTCCGGTCTTGCTAGAGATTAAGACACAGAGAATTTTAAGGAAGCAGTTGGGAAATTCTATCCAAAAATGTTTTGTTTTGTTATTCTGTTTTTTGCTCTCTGTTATTCTTCATTTACTCAAAACACAGATGAGTATGATGATCTCTTCTTCCTGAATTTTGATAATGAAATAGAAAGTGTAATTCCTGCAACTGAAGAAAGTAAGTCTTTTGCATTAACAGCAGGATTAATAATCTTATTGTTGCAAAATCTGCAGTTAGCAAACTTAAACATAGCAATGTTTCAGAATGTTCATTTAGTCAAGAAAGAAGGCAGGAAAATTTCTCTGCTCTTATTTCTAGCTTATGCCCTTGCCTTCTTTTCTAGAGAAAGAAAGCATGGAAATAACCTTGGAAGATAATATTTCTTTAAACAGCTTCTTTTGTGAGAATAAAGTTCAAATGTAGAATAATGTTTACTATGTGCTCTGTTTCAGCCATTTCATGTGATTGTCAGCGAGAACACACAGAATGGGACAAGCTCTTCATTATGCTTGAGAATTCCCAGATGAAGGAAAACATGCTGCTTGAGTCTCTGGATGAAGTCCTTAAGGTGGAGCTGCAGATGCTGAGAGTAGAAATGCTGCAGTTTGTGAAAAACTTTGCTGGCACATGCACCACATATCTCGAGAAAACAACCTCTCAGTTCTGGAGCCAAATGGACCAGATGATAACAAAGGGGAGAGTTTCTGGAGGTAGGTCTGGGATGCTTCATGAGATCAAGCAAGAAAAGATTCTCCAAGACATTCTGCAATTAAACCAAAATCTTTCCAACCGACTCAGCCAGCTTGAGCATGTCTGGCAGTGGAGAGCTGAAGAGGGTGATCAGCGGAGCCATTCATCAGAGGAAGGTAGAGTCGGCTACATAATGCATGGAAGCAATTTCATGTTGAAGTCACTGTGGCAAGAGCTGCAGGAAACAAAAGCTGAACTAAAAGAATCTCGGAAGAAGACCACGAAGCCTTCATTACCAGCTGGTGAGTCAGACTTTTTTTCCAATTGCCTTATACATTCATTCCCAACTAACCACGTTAACCATAACTTTGCCCAACAACTTTACCTGATGCTTTGCTTATAGAGAAGGGGGCATTATTATTATAAATTTGGAGAGAACCGGGTGGGAGGATGTCTGGCTTGTATTGTATAGCAGCCAAACAATATAAACTCAAAGTATAGTATGGAAAGTCACTGTGAGTATTCACTGCTTCAGCTATGTTGCTGTAGCTTAAAATATGTTCATTGAATAATTACACTTGGCCATTAGAAGCTCCGAAAACATCTATAGATAACTTATTAGTAAAGCAATGATGAAGTTTTGCTAAGTTTTGCTAAGTCACTTGTAGTTATTCTCTTCCATTCTTATTTTTATTTTGCAAAGCCAGTAACAATAATTCATTGACAGTCCCAATCAATTCAGTTTTCTGGCTGTTCCTCTGCTCTGACTTCTTCTAACATACCTGCTGATTCCCTCACTGCATTCCTCAGGGGCTACTTCTGAACACAATTTGACCTTGTGAGCTCACTCATTATGTCAACAGACTATTCATCAATTTAATTCTCACGCTTCAGGGCATAAACAGATCCTCCACAGGGGTTCAGGAAAGTGGAATAGCTTAGACTCTGTGAAGCACAACTGCAAAGCCATATATCACAAAGATTCCCCTGAACCATTCCAGTTGCCTTTTAATACCCAATCTGAACATGCCGTGATTTATGCTAAGATAAATAATGAAACTATTTATGTTAGATAGCTTTGAAACATATTCTCTCGCCCCATTTAAATCTAACTTGTTATTTTTAAGGCAGCTGTATTCTTCATACCTAGATGTTCTTTGAGGCTGATTTTAAATAACTATTGGTATAATATAGAAATAATGACATAGTCTCATGTAATTAACCACACAAAAGAGTTTGCCAGTTACAAAAGGTTCTTGCTATTCTGTGACATTCCAGAATAAGACTGATTAGTGATCTCTGAAGCAACAGCTGCCTAAGATTCTGAATCACTGCTTTTATTTTATAAAAATATAGTAGTGTTGAGAAATAAGCAGTGGTTAAATAACTCATACTGTGTGTTGTCTATTCATTTGTCCAAAAGGTTTGTAAGAATCACAGTCAATATCTAGAGGCCCTTTCAAATGTAAGTGAAAAGAGGAAAGTCCTATATTGCCAAGCATCCTAATTTTTGGTAGTAATTTTAAGTTCCATTAATTTACAACTGCTCCAGAAAAATGTTGTTTTAATTTGAACAAGCTGAGAAGAAATACGTTTGGATTAGCATGTGGTAGAAAGCATAACCTAGATGATGTTCTACTGTTCACACTGATTAATTTTCTAAAAGTAAAGTCACATCAAAAATCTGTGCTTAAAAATACTGTTATTATTTTGCTTTTTTCTAAAAGGCTCACATCTGTCTCTAAGGAATTATAGAAATTCCTGATGGATCCTGAGTGATTTAATGGAGAGGATAGGAAAATATTAACAATATAGTTCTTGATCAGCCATTTGTTTTGCCAAGAATAGATATCTAGAATTAAAGCATCAAATAACCTTAATAACTGTATATTATTCCATATGAAAATATGTAATAACTATATATTATAACTATATATTAAAACTAATCAAGGAAAATACAAACCTAGAACTAAGGTGAAATTTCCTGACAGTGAGAACAATTAATCAATGAAACTGGCTTGCCTTCAGAAGTTGTGGGTGCTCCATCACTGGAGGTTTTTAAGAAGAAACTGGACAGCCATTTGTCTGAATTGGTATAGGTCTCCTGCTTGTGGAGGGGGTTGGACTAGAAGACCTCTGAGGTCCCTTCCAACTCTGTTATTATGTTATTTTGTTATATTCATGTCATAAAGGCAAACCAATTCATTGAGCATTCATTTTGCAAAGATTTTACTAAAGTACCCAAAAAGCACTTTTAGCACTGTTTGCTCTTGGATACTTCCCACAAAGTTTGGCACTATGCTCTCAAAATTTCAAAATGGTGTTAATAGGAAGTCCAGAGAATGTCATCTTTGAATGTCTATTTCTCCCCCATCCTATTTTTTTATATTTGCTTTTACCAGAAAAATCCACCAGAGAGACAAGAACGGAATAGTTAAACAATTTCTTTTGTTTGATAATGCTAGCAGCCATCAGTCTAAAAGTTATCTTGATTTCCGTGAGAAAGTCATGCCATAAGTAACCATCTGCTCTTCCCTTCCCTTTTCAACATTTCATAATAAAAATGTGTGGTATGCTTTGTCATATTGTTGTAAGCTTCCCAACCCCACTTCGCTTTGGCTACTGCCTGAGAGAGGGAATCTCACAATGGAATGATGTCACACATGTTTCCCATTACTGGTTGCTACAGAAGACAGGGAGGAGTGGGATAAAGAGATTTTGTCTTTTCTAAAATTTGGAAGAAAATGCATGGCACAATTGAACTAATCTATGAAGTGCTAAGTCCAACATAACTCCACCAAATTTGCAGGACCTGTTCTTAATTTGCCATGTTTTGACCAATGATATCACTCAGTTCTATTTGTTTTGACAAGGGGGAGGAAATTCATAATTTGATTAAGAACAAGAAGACTGACTTTATAAAAAATATTCCACAGATCCCTCTGGAAATCTTCTTTTTTTTCAAAAGAGTTTTCAGCAACTGGTTTTGATTTCTCACATATTTTGGATTTCTGCCAGGTATTCTTAAGGGGTTTTATGATCACACTATTGTTGGTGACTTATAAAGCTGGTTTTCATTTTGTCTACCCTTGATAATAAAGTTAGAAATTTTGATAATTAAAAAGCCATGTCACTACACAGAGCTCTTTGCCCTTTGAAGAAGTATTCCTGCAGATTTTCATGACCCATTGCCCCTATTCTCAGTGGTCAAAGCATTTTAACATTCTTAGAACTCAAAGCATATGACACCAGCACAGCATGAGAAAATAGAAAAAGTATACTAATTATTGCAGCTGTTATTTCAATATTTATTTTACTTCAAGTTCAAAGATTCTAAAATGTGATGTTGTTGATTATTCATCATGCTGTATCTCAATTTCCTGTAATTGCTCTCTCATACATTTATTAAAATATTTTAAATTGTCAACTGAGTTCAAGTCCCATGAAAGCCAGCTAGCTGACCTTGGGCCAGTCACCTTCCTGCAGTCCAACCCACCTCACAGGATTGTTGTGGGGAAAATAGGAGGAGGAAGGTACGGTGGATATATTTGCTGCCTTGAGCTGTTTATAAAAATAATAAAGGTGGGAAATAAATAAGTAAGCACATACAGTATAATTATAATTCAATACAGTTTCCATTTCTTATTGCTTCAAATTGTTTGTCGTATAGATATTATTATTTTTGTACAGTTGTCTTTTTGAACAAAATGGTAGATTACGACATGGAAAATTTATTCTAGACCATGAGTTTTCAATCCATGAAAATGCGTAACTTCTCACTTTAGGGTAACATAAGATAATTGATTTTTTAAAATGGGAAAATGATATAAAGTATTTTTCTGATGGTTAAAATAGCCAACACTCTGCTAAACTTCAAAACATATTGAGATAGATATTTTATAAACATACTCTATAAATTATTCCACTGATAAAGATCTGCTAGTTTCTTCTCCTTCCTCATTTCTACATGCTGAATTTAAATAGATATAGAGGTGCATGTAGCCCACACATAAAACAATTAGATTACTTTCATTTGTAGTTATAGATGCATTTAACTCTAACATTTTGCTAACCAATTTCTGTTTATTTTGCGTTTCATTTGTCGTAATAATTATAAATTGGATTTTATAAATTTAAAAATATAGAGATAGAAACTGTTTTCCTTGATGCAATAAAAAAGAAATCCAATGAGTGAAAATGCTAATCAGAAAAAAAAACCCTCTAATTCTCATGATAGTATATAATCAGAAAATAAATACACAAGTTTTAGGAAACTCTAGTTCTTTAACGTGCTGTTTGCCAAATAGAAAGTCTAACAATGTTTGTGTAATTTTTGAATTGGCCAAATATTTACATATATTTACATATCATGAGTAAAAGTGTTTCTGAGTGAAAATTAGTGACAAAGGGTTTCTCTCCCACCCCATTCCACATGGCACAGAGATGGACTTCCAAAGAAATTATGAAAGTAAATGGGGAAAATCTATGGGAATCTCCTGGGGGTTTACTGAAAGAGTTAGATATCAGCATAAGATTAGTTACAGGTAACAAAAAAAGTATGTTATTTGAAATTATTTTCCAATTATTGCATCACAATATAAATTCTTGATGAACAGAGGATTATCTAATTCAGTATGAGATGCTCTCAGATTTCCCTTCCCTTTTCAAAGATTGTGGAATATGTTGGCTTTTTTTTTTTTTGTCTCTTCAAATCAGTGTTGACTCATGGCAACTGTATAGAATAAGTCCCTGTAGTTTACTTGGTAAGATTCCAGAAGTGGTTTGCCATTGCCTTCTTCCTAGGGCTGAGAAAAAGTGACTGGCCTAAGATCATCCAACTAACTTTGTCCCCAAGGCAGAACTAGAACTCATAGTCTCTTGTTTCTAGTTAGTGTCTTAACCACTATACCAAATTGTCTCTCTTAAAGATATTACAAAAAGTGAAAGAATTTATTTGCTTAAAATCCAAAAGAGCCATTGCTACTTAAATTATATGTTTTTAACTGATACTTAGAATTATATTACATTACAATGATCCCAGATATGCATGAGCCTTGAATATAATTGATAACAATTACATTCTGTTGTTCTTACAGGTTGTGAAACAGTTATTTTATTCCCAATGCGTTCTAAAAAGATCTTCATGAGTGTTCATCCAACTGGTGAGATGGCACTCTTCTCCTTCACTGCCTGCACATGGGTTAAGGTAACTGAAGCGTTGGACAAAACTATTGTATTCTCATATGGAACAAAGAATAATCCCTATGAAATTCAGCTTTATCTGAACTATGACTCTGTGGTTCTCGCCGTAAAAAGTAATTTCAACAAGATATCTGCCCCAAAGTTAATTTCTTCTGGAGAGTGGACTCACATCTGTAGTACTTGGGGTTCAGTCAATGGAACTGTATCTTTATGGATAAATGGAAAGGTTGTGGTCACCTCTTCAGAAATAGCTGAAGACCACATCATCCCAGATGGTGGAATTTTGCAGATTGGCCAGGAAAAGAATGGCTGCTGTGTTGGAGGCGGTTTCAATGAATCTTTAGCTTTTTCTGGAAAAATAACTGGCTTTAATATTTGGGACCGAATCCTCAGTGACAAAGAGATAATAAGACAATCTGAAGAAGATGCATGTAATAACCGGGGCAACATAGTGGGCTGGGGAGTTACAGAGATTCTGCCTCATGGAGGGGCTCAGTATGTTTTTAGCCCCTGAATTAATGTTCTTCAAAACTCTATATAAAATCAAACCAATAAACAGAACTTATAAAATCTGAATATATATACATATATTTAGAATTGGTCCATGATACAGTTTCCACAGGAAAAACAGAGGTATAAACAACACTCAGAAGCCAGTTATCTCTGCTTCACACAAGAAACTTTGAATGAGGCTTCACATGGCAAGAAGCCTTTGGATGACTGCCATGGCTACTACTATAAGCCAATATCTCTGCTCTCCAGATTCCGTAAAAAAGAACAGCGCTGTCATAAATGGGAGATAGCTCTCCACAAATGGTTATAGCTGCTTTCAGAACAAGTGCTTGCTAAGCCAGTAAAATGAATTTTATCCACATGAAATCTCATTCATAGAGAAATCATGTATGTAGGACATAATTTAAAATTGCTACCATAATGAAAGCTAAAATATACATACAGTATATCTTGTTAAAAGTCAGCATGTAAACATGCTGGTCTAGACTGCTACATGATCCAACATTCTCTAAGCACATATCTTAATCATACCCAAAACTATTTTTGAACTTACTCTGAATTACATGATTAGCATGTACCATGGTGAGAAGGTTCAATAGCTGTAAGGACGTTGAAAATGTTGCTAGCAGGAACTCCTGGTTGGATTATCCTTGTTGATAAAATCTAAGGAGAAGTGTGGAGCTATAAGTAAGCCATAATGAAGTTGAAGGGGGAGTGGGGTTCTGCAGATCCCAGGAAAGTTAGAAAATGTCAAAATGAAATATAGAAGAAAACAGTAATCAATCATTTCTAGATTGTTGCCAAAAGATGGCTCAAATATGAAGATGGCTCAAATCCTTTAGGCAATTTTTGTTACTGGATAATAAGATTGGATGGGGGGGAACCTAGCTACTAGAAAGGTGAATTTTCACTAGTAAATCTATAGATGAGGATATGGCTAAACCAAAGTGACAAAGTAGTCTGGTCATTGTCAAAATCAGAACTGAAGGACAACTTTATCTTTTACAAAGACAAATAAAACAATGTAATAAGCATGGATCAAACAAAACTTGAAACTATTAGAATGGAACTGAAGCACGCTAAATTAGATATTTTCTGAATCAGTGAACATTGGTAGCCTGCAATGGATCACCTTAGTTCAGATGATAATGTGTTATATTATTCAGAGCATGAATAAGAGATAGAATGACAATGACACCCCAAAAGAATATACTAAGTTTGTACTGGCTATAAACCAATAAACAATAGGTTGATATTTATTAGAATTAGCATATATTCATTGAAAGAACATCATTGTTATACAAATGTGTGCTGCTATTTCAAACACAACAAAAGATGATATTAAGGAAATCTATAGTAATTTGCAAGAGGTGCTAAATGTAACAGCAGAACAGACTATAGTATCTCTGGTGCGTAGTTTGTTAAACACAACGATACAATAAATAGTTTAATATAGTTTTTGCAAAGATAATTCTTTGTTCATTGCCAATGCCTGCTTCAAATAACACAAGGACATCACTAGATTGACAACATCATAATAAAATTTATTATAATATAGGAAAAAGAATTGCAATCCAGTCAGCCAGATCCCTTCCAAGTGTATATTATAGAACACACTGTGTCAAATTCATATGGTGTCAAATTGGTGTGCCAGCAAGATTGGATTTGGAGACATACAGTCAGACTATAAAATCAAAACAGGGAACAAATCAATATGCTTAACTTATGCAAGAGAATATCTGAGGAATTGTGGAATTAGAAAAGAGACACTGTGAAAACTGAAGTAGAACAAACTCTCCCCCAGATTTCAAGGCAGAAAAGTTTGATTGGCTTTCAGAACAAGCTACCATGATAGCCAGGGACAGATGAATGGTGAAAGCATTGGTCAGAAAGAAGGATGTACTATAGTTAAACACAAACTTTCAAGAAGAAAAGATAAGGGAAGGGATCACAGTCAGTAACAGAGGAAATTAACGAGGAAAAAGAAAAGACTTTTAAAAGATGATCGGAAAAATAACTTAATAAATTACAGTTAAAGTAGAACTTTTCAAGAGATCTAACTGAAGCAAAAGAGATTACAGGGAAATGAAAAGATAGAAACCAATAATAGTTTTACAGACTGGCATAAATATGAGTAGAATTTATTTCAAAATTAAGTCTTCTCGAAATTAGTGAAGAGAGCCAATCAACAGGTATCAAATGAAAAAGCAAAACTAAAACTGCAGAAGAAGAGACAATTGAAGTGCTGAGAGCTCTATGTCAACAATGAGCAAGAAACTACTGTAAGAACTGTGTACACTTTAAGCTTATGTTACATATTAAGACAAAGATATTGTCAATCAACAGTGAAGAAGTGAAGATGAAGGAAGCTGTGCTGTCTTATGGGACCCTTTTGTTTGTAGGGTTTTTTTTTTTAATGTGAATTTTGCAACTGAACTATTTAAATATTCTGAAGCAATAACTTTTTTCTATTTTTATCACAAGTATGTACATCTTCATAAAGTTAGCATCTTGTCCAAGGAACTTTTAATACTGGAAGCCTACCTTGCATTGAGGGTGACTGCAGTTTTCTGGTTTGAAATTAATATAGCTGTATTATATTGTAAAATAAACTGATTTTGTATTGACTTTATTGAAACTATTTTTTATAAAATTGAGTTGTAAATAAAAAAAATACTTTATCACATTGATATCACATATCATTTTGTTTAGGGTGTTCAGAATACAAAGCAAGCACTAAGGCCGAATGTAAGAGGGCCCCTTTCTGCTGAATTTCTTATCTATAAAATCATGTCTCTAAAAGCAGAACTATCTCAAAACAATTAGATGCCAGAACCAGGAACACTGAAGATTATGACGGAGTTATATTAGCATGTTAGCATTTGTTGTACCAAAAGTTGTTCTTCAAAAACAATACAATAATCTTCCCTTAAGCATGAAAGTTGGCTGTGTGTCTTTGGACCAGTCACCCCTCTCTATGCTCAATCCACCACGTAGGGTTGTTATTATGGAGAAAATAGAAGTGGGAGCACTAGGTATGAACATTGCCTTAAGTTGAACCAAAAATAAATACCAGTTTAAAAAAAAAACAGTCAGACATATAAAAAGAAATATACCATAGATTATTGCAAAATTGCAGAGACCTTCAAATTGAATAGATAAAGCATTTTACTGAAATAGGTTATTAGTTATATGATACAGGCACCTCCAACACACTGGTGCCTCCAGATGTATTTGATTTCAGTTCTCATAATCTCTCAACCAGCATGACTATGGATAACAGACTCTCCACAGTAATTCTTTTTGTTTCTTTAGGAGGAAAGTTTCAAAGTGAAATGCTGTGAGACTCCTTTGAGTTGATTACATTAGGAAAAAGACTCCCCAGGAAGACTAGAATTATACTTTATTGAGATGGACCATAATAACAAAATCTCTCAAGTCTGATTGTACTTTATCTGCCCACCCAATGAATCAGGCAGAATCCTGCCCAAGTCTCTACTGAATAATATCTTGTTTCCTTAAGGAACTTGGCTTTCATAACTTTTTTTACTGATTCCCTTCAGGGTCATTTCCCTGATTCACTACAGATTCTATCTTTTTTTTTTATGCTGCTACATATAGGTAGGATTCTTACTACCTGTTTGAGCATTTTAGTGTATGTATTAACAGTTGTTTACATAGGTTAAAGTCAGAAAAATTAAGGAAAATTAGGAAGGACAAAGGCTAACTTTAGCTGTTTTGCACATTTATAGGTTTTCATATGGAATAAGTTGATGATGGTGATGATGATCTATCAGGAGGTAGTTTGAAATAATAAGTGAGATGGGCATTGTTACTAGTGAAAACTGAGTTTTACTTCAATCATCATCATTGGGGTGTAAAATAAATGTTGATTGATTATTTAAATCATAGTTTAATGAAAATGTATTGCTCACTTGCGTTGTCCTTTAAATACTTCTAAGGAACATTCTAGCTGTATAGAAAGCCTTTATAACTGCACCATCTGACTGATTGGCCCCCATCCCCAAATGACACGTATAATGTTTGAAGTCACCCTCAGCTTAATTAAACATTTTTTTTTAAATATATGGAAATTCTTACGAAGTAGAAGCATACAAATCAAATACAAAATGTACTGTGTAGGTATTTCTTACCTTGCAGGATGCTTTTTACAATAATTTCTGTATGTTCAGCAAGCAACTCTGCTTTGCTAATTGCAGCAAGGGAGAGATAACTGGATAAATTCCTGCACAATTCTTTGTTACCTCTCTGGAGAAACTTCACTGCAACTGGGACAGCCAAAGCTATGATGGGAGGGCGATTATAATTCTATTGGGGGGAGAGAACAAAAACAGATTATTGCAGAATTAGATTACAAATTATTGCACGCACACTCACTTCAGTGTTCTTATTATTGCATCTGGAAATATCATACATTTTCATCAGCTGTGTAGAAACAAGCTATTCTGAGTTATCTTTACTACAATGATATATAAACATAAAGGTGTACTGTGGAATATCTATCTCTTTAATGATGAAGTATAAATTTTATATTTACATAGAGTCATTCTGGATAGTGAGATGGTCAGCATATATATTTAATAAATAATAAAATAAAGTGTCTGTCTTTAACTGTCAGTCAGTTGGATCAATATTATTAATCTGACAAGGAGCCTGACAAAGGAGTTGATCACAACATAGTTTAAGGAATGAGGTTAAGGAAAGGAAGCACTAGAAAAGAAAGATTCTTGAAGAAGCTCTCATCAGCATGTCAGAGAAGGAAATTCAGTTGTCTCTTCCTCATTCTTTAATTTCCAAATTCTTTGGGAAGATTTTTAAACAGCCCAATGAAAGACTATCTAGAAACAAATAAAGTTATAACTAGTAGCCAGCACGAGTTTGTTAAAAATAGATCATGCCAAACCAATTTTATTTCATTCTTTGTCAAAGTGACTAAGTTAGTAGACCAGTGAAATGCTGTGGGCATAGTATATTTAGACTTCAGCAAGGCATTTGACAAAATAGACCACAACCTACCTCTTAGTAAGCTAGAAAAATGTGGGATTGACAGCATCACAACCAGATGGATTTGTAACTGGCTGACAAACCGTACTCATTGAGTAGTCCTTAATGGTACTACATTTACATGGAGGGAAGTAAGCAGTGGGGTACCACTGGGTTCTATCTTAGGTCCAGTACTCTTCAATATCTTCATAAATGACTTAGATAAGAGAATAGAAAGGGATCTCGTCAAATGCGCAGATGACACCAAGCTGGCAGGAATAGCCAACACCCGAGAGAACTTCAGAATCCAAAAAGATCTTGACAGACTTGAACAATGGGCCCTATCTAACAAAATGAAATTTAATATGGAGAAAAGCATGGTTTTACACCTGGGCAAGAAAAACCAAAGGTACAAGTACAATTTAGGTGAAACCTGGCTCAAAAACAGTAACTGTGAGAGGGACCTTGGAGTCCTAGTGGACAATCATTTAAACATGAGTCAGCAGTGTGCGGCAGCAGCCAAAAAAGCTAATACAATCCTTGGTTGTATAAACAGGGGCATAGAATCAAAATCATGTGAAGTATTAGTACCGCTTTATAAAGCCTCAGTAAGGCCACATCTGGAATACGGCATCCAGTTTTGGTCACCACATTACAAAAAAGATGTTGAGACCTTGGAAAAAGTACAAATAAGAGCAACTAAGATGATTAAAGGCCTGGAGACTAAAACATATGAACAATGGTTGCAAGATTTGGGAATGGCCAGTCTAGAGAAAAGAAGGACTAGGGGAGACATGATAGCAGTATTCCAGTATTTGAGAGGCTGCCACAAGGAGGAGGGGGTCAATTTATTTTCCAAAGTATCAGAAGGCAAGACAAAAAACAATGGATGGAAACTAATCAAGGAGAGAAGTAACCTGGAATTAACGAGAAACTTCCTAACAGTGAGGACAGTTAACCAGTGGAACAGCTTGCCTTCAGATGTTGTGAGTGCTTCATCACTGGAGGTTTTTAAGAAGAGACTGGATAACCACTTATCTGAAATGATATAGAGACTCCTGCTTGAGCAGGGGGCTGGACTAGAAGACCTCTAAGGTCCCTTCCAGCTCTGTTCTGATTGATTGGTTTAAAAAAAACACCAATTAGACCATCAATATTAAAGGGATTTTGTCTGGATTCACACAATATCCAAATCATAAATCATGATTAACAAGCCACATTGGCTGAGTTTGTACAACATGCTAAGATTAGACTACAAAACTGAACTGCAGCCTAGCTTGATATCTTAAAGCTACTGGCTTGTTTTGCTCTTTCCTGGATTTTTCTTATGACTTTTTTTTTAGTATACTTCTAATTGGTCATGAGTTTTCTATGTTCTACTTTAATATACCAGAAATAACATTATAAAAATAGACAACCTAACAAAATTGGGATAGGTTTTTGATCACATATATTTTCATCAAGTATAATTGATTTGATGGTAGTTAATGTGTATTCATCAAAAGAGCCTTTAGAGTAAAATGGAGACAATGGAATCTTGTTCTACTTATTAAAGAACTACTGTTTTGAAAATCCACATCTGTTTAGGACCTAGATTTTAATATCTGTTTAAAATGTATACTTGGACCTGATCCTAGAGTTCTGAAGCTGAAATAAAAATAATTGAGTCTTGAGAAGTTTTAGCTTGCACTCCATTGATATGAACCAGGTTCTAGTCATATGTTGTTTCCTTTTGAAAAGGGATTAATATGAGTTTAATATGATTAATATGAATTTAAGGTAAATAAACCTTAAATTTGACTTCTGAACTAGCCAGCAGAGCAAAAAAAAAAAAAACCCCAACAACAACAACAAAATATTACGAATACAAACTGTAGTAATGACAGGTTTAAAACTAACTATAATTCTATTCCTTGATTTAGATGGACAACTAAATATTACTATGGATATAATGCCTGAAAAAAAGACTTTCTAGTTGATATTTAATAAATATGTAATATTTAATAAATAAACATGCATTTTTTATTCAGTTTCTTGTCTTATTTTGGGTTCTATTAACTAACTGCTGATATGTAGTGATATGTAGTGCAATTTGGCCTTTCTTCAAATTATCTCCATTTTGAAATTTTAGAATAATCTTGAATGTATCAATTGGTGTAAAACTGTACATGACCTGATGTACAGATTTTACTTCCTTTCTTATCATGTAATAGAACTTAATTAGAGGTTATGATTGAATAATTTGACTCCAGAAACTTATCTTAATTGAAATATGGACTACAATCAAAAAGGTGCTTCTTAAAGCTTCAAAATGTGCAGTAAAATTTACTCCAAGGCTAGTTGTCAAGCTATGCATTTATCTTTATGAAACATACAGTACAGGGGACCATGTACAACTTAACGGTATCAGGTCATAGGTAAAAATTCTTATACATCATAGTTTGGAAGAATTGAGTAGAGGGATGACATTTTAATTGACACACATATATAATTCTGCTTACCAATTTCTGAGTTTTCTAGCACATAGCAGAAAAATTATTAATCTGAAATATATTTGACCACTTAGAATACATAATATGATTTTGAACACATATTTACAAAGTAGTATCCAGAATGTTTTCCAAATAGCAGGAATGTCCAGTGCTTTGGTTCTGAGAAGCAGGCATGGATAGCAATTGGATCAGCTGAATTTTTGCTGTAGCCATACAATCTCAGAAAAATAAGTATTTCACTTGAGGTAGCACTAATGTTTGCTCCTTAACTTAACCCACATTTTTTTCAGAAATCACATGGCTAGTCTATGAACCCAGAAAAAGTTGCAAGATCTTTAAGGAGGAACCAAGAGATACAATGTATATTTTCATATCTAAAATGCTTTTTTTTCAGCTTCAGACTAGTGTGGAACACATTCCAAGAAAATACTTTTTGTGAAATCTGATTAAAGAAAGACTATTTTAGACATTCTTCCAAAGGAGAAGAACATTTCAGAGGATTTCTCATGGATGGAGTATCCTTCATTTTATTTTGCTTTATGGTGTCCATGTTCTATGTGAAGATCTTGTCTTTTTTTTTGTGATTTCCCATGCTTCCTTTCTATTTCAAGAAATATATCAAGAGGGAACTTCTCCCATCCTCCTTTTTCAGGATATTTACTATTGTAACCACAAAAGGAATCTTATCCATGAGAAGTTGTTAGACAATTTCTCTGTCCCTTGGAGGAAAACAATTGAATAAATCATCCACCTAACTTTTCCACTTATAAATTTGCGGGAGAATTTCTAAAGACTGTTTGTGTGCAATCCTATTACAAAAAAACTAATCAACATACTCTCAAAAGGTACATCATCGGCAAAACATTTTTACCTGCAAAATGCAGCTCATAATATCGGAGGCAATCTTTGCATGCGGTGTGTCTTCATCTTTACAAAAAGGTTTCAGATTGTGCTCTAAACACGACTCCCAGAGATCAATAAGAGCTTTTCCATGCTTCTCGATGGATTCAGTCTCCCTGATGGCTGAAGTAATTCGAGTGATACAAATCTCCACAACTGCTTGGTCATTGTCATTCGTCTGGTAGTCCTGATTGAAATAAAATATGATAGCAGTTGAAGACTCTCCTGAATATCTGTCCAAAAGTCCATACCTGGAGGAAGGTGTTTATTCACACTTAGATATTGCCTAGTATTTAGACTGGCAGGGAGGCTGCATCACTGTGGCTGATGGTTCACTAAACCACTGAAGCATCTGTCTACACTATACTAAAATCAAGATTGTAATTTGCATGCCTGGTGATTAAATGGCCGGACAACAAAACATATTAAAAACTTTAAACATTTGACCATGGTTTTCATAGATATGCCAAACCCAGCACATAATGAAAATAAGGTAATCTGAAAGGCACAAAAATCACTGACAAAACTAGAATACTTCTACTTTGCCAGGATGGCGCAATATACACAATTTTTGTTTGGTGCTCAGTTGGGACCATGTAATTTCTTTACCTGTCTGGACAGGGCTGCATCCAAACTTTTAAGAACGATATTTCAAGTGGCCCCTTGTATACTTAATATGGTTTTAAAGAGAGACGCAAAGGCATCAGCTGTATTATTGCCCACTAGTTAAAGGTGTAGGTTTTATTGCAACATTATGGATTTTCAAGAATTGGCCATTCTTATGATGGGCTATATTTGAGCAATTACTGCATTTAAATAACCTGCTCAAATGGATCAATTTTCTCTAACAGGAAGAGCTATTTTATCTCCAACCTGTTCTTCTGTGAGACCTTAAGAACAGGATGCTCTTAGCCTCCTACTAAACACGGTTGGCACTGTTTAACCCTGGTCTCCAGGATCAGACTTCATCTATCAGATGTTTCTATATACAGCTAAACACTCCTCCAGTTCTTTGTTCTCTTATTTATTAGATTTTTTGATTGGCCATCTTAAGCAACCGGGACCACGTACAACAACGATAAAACCATTTCAAACAATAAAACAATAAACAAAAAACTTGTTCTGCAACTGTCCCCCTTCGGATGCCCCACAGCAAGCTCAGTGCCTTCTACCCATACACTCACAGCATCTCATAAAAAAACCAGATCTTAATGGTCTTCTAAAAGGCTAGAAAAGTGGGGGGCCTTGTGAATTGGAGCAGGAGGGTATTCCACAAGATAGGGGCAGTATATCTACATCTGAAGAAGGCAGTGGTCTATTTATTTAATCATTCATTTATTCATATTCATTCATTCAATTTCTATAGTTGCCTGTCTCAATCAATGACTCTTATGCCTCTGTTTTTGTCTTAACATTGCCTAATTCTTTGAGTATGGCCACAACAAGCCGGAAAGGTGCAATCCTTATCTTAAAAAAAAAAAAGAATGGTTACCAGCCCAGTGAGAATGTTCTCCCTAATGAAATATTGTTGTTTATTTATCTTTTCGCTGTTCTTAACATTAAATCCTACACTTTCTGGGTCAGAATCTTTAACAGAAAAATCTACTCCGCTTAGTGGTTTTACCTTTTAAAAGATCTTTCTTCTTTCATTTGTATTCATTTTTATTATTGCTGTATTTGTTTTACATATAATTTAACTTTTTTGAATTTTTATTCTAATAAAACTACCATGAGAATTTTCCTAAAGGTTTAACAGTTAGATAAACAAATGAATAATGTATAAAGTTTATATCATTCTGGCTTTAGAAACAAGATAAGCAGCAAGGAATTTCAATAACAAGTGAGTATCTTTATGTAATAAGCACCTCTAGCAGTGCACATTTCAAGGAGGGACAGTTGTCTAAAATTCTTGATTGTTGCCCTCTAGCCCCATTGGCTAAATATATAGGAAGGAGTTTGCTGGAAGTTTTTTTGTTCTTTGAATCTTCATAGGAACAGAACAGACTGGGTGGAAGAAAAAACCTGAACCTCACAGATTACGAACTGTAATTCTTTCTGGAATCCATATAAACATCTTAGGGGCAATAAGTAATTAGTGTTTTAGAGATCTGATTTTATTTTGGATATGTTCAGTCTTGCTTGATTTCTGATGAAGCCATTTTCCCTAAGGCTAAATTCCTTTTGGATGGTACTATGCACAATTCCTTTGCTTACGTTTACTCTGTGGATCCTGGTTGTTTTTCTTTAATCCTAACACACAACCATTTCTGCTGTTGTGTGATTTATTAAAGTAAATGTCAGTTTGTACCTCAATGGAGAAGGCTGTAATCTAGTAATATACTTCAGAAGGCTGAAGTGCCTGCAGGTTGACCACCACTTACTGTGGTTAAACAGTCTTTGTTAATTAAGAGAAAAGAGAATGCATTTTTATTCTTTGGCTATAATCCTAGGTATCTGGTTGAAAAGAGACAACAATTGTACCATGATTCCAAATTATGGAAATCAGTTATTGCTGCACCACTCTGAGCTATCTTGACTGTTGAGATTCTTGCAATATGTAGAATAAAGCTAATCCTTGGTCCTGTGATAACATGGTTAAACAAGACAAGAAATTTGCACTGGTTTGCATTCAGGGCTAAGACAGGATGGTCAGAATTTCAGTAAAAACCCAGGAGTTAGGCAACTTTCCAAAGACAGACCTATTCTGACTGTACTTCCTCTGCTGAGGATTACAATGGCTGGCATTTAGTCCAATGTTTAACAACACATCTTTTCAGAAACTCTGCTGCTAATACCGATACAATGGCTTGGAGGAATATGTGACATTTAATAATGAATATGTAGGTTCATTATGGAACCAAGCTTGGGTTTAGCTAACTCTAGAGGTTAAAGACTGATGGTCATGGACTCAATAGTATGACCTACCAGCCCTTGCTCTCTAATCTGGATCATTTGAGCACTGCACATTTCTTATAGAAATATTTATGAGATTATGTATATTAGTTTTCCAAAGAACAAATCATAGAAATTGTACTCATAGTTATCAACTACCACCAACTGGTCTAATTTATGATGTTCTGTGGACCATTACAAAAGCTATGTTGCTGCAGGATGAAAGTGCTTTATTGAAGAGACTTAATCCAAATCCTTGGCCATTGCCGACAGTAATCCTGTACCATCTCAGCTCCAGAAATCTTTCCATCCATTATGTTACATGAAACAGGCTCTGAAATATATCTGGTTTAAAGGTTTTATCAGAAGGTTTGACACAGGATTGTTCATGGTGTTGTGGGGGAATAAAGTGAATGCTGTTAACAGTGACAGACCTAGTGCCATTCTGACAGTGAAAGCAGTCCAGCTGGTCCTGATAGAATTGAAGTTCCACATGTAAATATTATATAAACCACCCTCGTCTCCACACCCTGAAGCATTAAGTGTGGAGAACATTTTCCAACTGGATAGAAAATGCTAGCAGCAATATAGAAACTTGGCAACTGTTTGGCTGCCAATAGCAGAAGAGTTTCCAATTTTATTGTGACCTGACCCCACTAGCAATTGGATCTAAAATTAATTAGAAAGACTGTCTATGACAGGAAGAAAAAGTATGCATCATGACATGTTGTGTTCTCCTTCTCTAGACCAGAGATCTTTAGACAGATGTTGGATATCAAAGATACTCAAGTGGATCCTGCATGGATGAGGAGTATGGATTAGGTTATCTCTGAGGACCCTTCCAATTCTAAATTCTGTGTTAGACAATTGAAGTTGAAAATAATGAACCAAGTAAATATAATTTTATTCCCTTGTCCATCCTTTCTGAGCTTGTACTTTTATAATTACTTGTTTTTATAAAAAAAATGAATTCAGTTCAAATTAAAATTTTCTATTGCTGCACTCAAATATAATTTATCACATATCATTTATGATAACCCTATGTAAATCAGATTGCTAAATCAGAATGAAAGGGACAGTCTGATCCAATATTCAGTTTCCAAAAACAGCCAGATTCTTACCAAAGGGACATTATGATTACTTGCGAAAATTGTATTTATTAACCTAATTTGTGCTTAAATGACTTTTTAAAATTAAAATATCTGGATATCTAAAAAAAATGAACTACAGTAGAATTAGCTGTACCCTTCTATCTGTTTCAATTTAAAGGATTCTATCCTTGGACTATCAAACAAACTAGTCCTTTAGAAAAGGGCCAGGCTGCAGAAGAGGTGAGGATCTGTGAAAGAAGACAAATGAAACAAGATAGCAAAGGAGGAAGTGAGGGATAACTGAACCCCCAAAGCTGCCTAAGGAGTATACAAGCAATGGAGAATGGTATCACAACAATAGGCACACCTCAAGAACTAGAAGAAGCCCAGAACAACGACAGTCTCCCCAGAAATTAAATCTGGAGTATTGGCAATCCAGAAAAATGGCCAGTGATAGCAGCCTCAAGAAGTAGGCTTGTAGAAATAACATCCAGTCCAGAGCTGTATCAACAGGAAGGGGTCTACTAGATTCTCCAACATCACACCCAACAGCACCAGACCACATATTCCATCTTCTGCATGGCTGCAAGTGACTTTGGGGGAGTTTAGCTGGAAAAAGCAGCATAAATTTCATACTGTGAGATAGGAACCTTACTCTAAGGCAGGGGTAGTCAACCTTGGCTCTTTTATGACTCATGGACTTCAACTCCCAGAATTCCTGAATTCCTGAGCCAGCTAAGCTGGCTCAGAAATTCTGGGAGTTGAAGTCCACGAGTCATAAAAGAGCCAAGGTTGACTACCCCTGGTCTAAGGTATAGGGGACTGTTGAAGAAATACAATTTAAGATCTTCAAATGAAAAAAAATGTAATTGTACAAGAGTAATTAGATTACTGGTGTGCTTTTAAAGACTTTAAAGCTTAGAAAAATTATCTAATTACAAACAAGACTGGATCTTCAGTTGTCGGGTAAGCGCTGAATTTGTAAAATGTCTAGTAATAAAAAAAAGAAAGCTGCTTATTGGATTTGCTTTGCCTCTGCCCGAGTATGTCCCTATTCCCAAACCTCAGCAATAGTGTGTCAATTCCTGAAAAGTGGGTCACAACTGGAAGCATTACCTAATCTAATCATTTTTAGAACCATCTAAGTCAGCACCCACCACGATATCTTGAAGTAATGAATTGTACAATTTTGTTATAGAAAAAGATATTTCCTTTAGTTGCTCTTTGGCTGAACATCATGTTTGATATTTATCTGCATCATAACCGATTCATCAATGAACATAACTGATCATGCCCATGAGGAAACTAAATTTGTTAAGCTGGAAATGGCATAAATCTATTCCAATTTGCTATCGGGGTATGTAGATATAATTTAAAATCTCACTACTGATTTTATCTTCTCTCTTAATAAGGTCTTTGCATAGTATTTTGGAATGATTTCTTTTTTTATTCATTGATTACAAACAATTAAAACTTTACAGGTAGCCCTCGCTTAGGGACTGGTCATTTTATGATTGCTCAAAGTTATGACAGCCATGTAATGGGTGCTTTATGGCCCGTAAAGCATCCCCACCTGTCGTAAGTGGTTGTGTCAACCCCTCCATGGTCACGTGACCACGTGTTGGGTGGGTCAGCTTTACAAACTGTCATGGCATTCCACAGTCATGTCCTTGCAATTTGTGATTATTATTTTTTTGCCAGTTTCCAGCATTTTTTCTGTTTCCAGCAAAAAAACAGCCAATCACATGAACAGTTCACTCAATGATCATGTCATTTCCTTAATGGCCTCTGCATTTTCTTAATAGGGCAGCAGCATTTGCTTAAGAAGTGCCATGAAAAAGGCCAAAAAATTCCCAGTGAGTGGGTGACTTACAACTGCAAAAAGTTACGACCATAATTCCAGGCTCAATTATATAATAATAATAATAATAATAATAATAATAATAATAATAATAATAATAATAATAATAATAATAATAATAATAATAATAATAATAATAATAGTAGTAGTAGTAATAGTAGTAGTAGTAGTAGTAGTAGTAAAGTTGGAAGGGACCTTGGAGGTCATCTAGTCCAACCTCCTGCTCAGGCAGGAAACCCTATACCATTTCGGACAAATGGCTGTCCAGTTTCTTCTTAAAAACTTCCAGTGTTGGAGCATTCACCGCTTCTGGAGGCAGGTTGTTCCACTGGTTAATTGTTCTCACTGTCAGGAAGTTTCTCCTTAGTTCTAGGTTGCTTCTCTCCTTGATTAGTTTCCACCCATTGCTTCTTGTCCTGTCTTCAGGCACCTTGGAAAATAGCTTGACTCCCTCTTCTTTGTGGCAGCCCCTGAGATATTGGAACACTGCTATCATGTCCCCCCTTACTATTATTATAGTAAGTCAAGGAATACCTCTATTTAACCCAATATAGTAAGATTAACTAGTACAAGTTGTTTTTTGTTGGAGGAATATCAACAACACTTGCTTATTTACAGAACAATAGTTTTACTTTTTCACAAATCCCTCTTCCCTTTCCCTTCCCTCTCCCTCTTACTACTGACATTGCTCCTATTCCCAAAGCTCACTCTCCAAGTTTTCCTAGTTTTTCCCCACTTGTCTTAAAAGAACGTCCCAGTTACACTCCTTCCTTCTTCCTAAACCACACATTCTTATTGGAAAGAGTGAGCCTTAATACCCATTGCTGTGTTTGTTCTATTCTATGACAGCAATATGAATGCTATTCTTTAAAAAATGTTTCTCAGTTGTGAGATATAGAAGAATGCACAGATTTGCTATTAAGTTTGCATTCTATTCTCAGTTGTGGAAAATGACCTATCTTCTTCACATTCTGAACATTTAAATCATTTTTAAAAGTTCTTTTAGGTCAGTTATGCATTATTGCTGCCCTCTAGTGGAAACTAATAGCAAATGTTCTCTCCACATTGTCCAATGTTCTATAATAATACTGAATTCAACGGTGGTATCAATGAGCTATGGCAGTGACTTAGGTGGATTCATTATTCCATGCATATATTTCAAAGTTACCATAGGTTTCCTGCTGAAATTTGAAAGGGATTTTGTGTGTGTGTGTGTGTGTATGCGCAGGCACACACATGTGTGTAGCTGAGTGGGTAGTAGTTTTGAAAGAAAAAATTCAAAATAAGTAGAACACAGAGATGCTTGATAAGTAACTATTCTTGGAACATATATTCTGCTGTAAGCCTCTTGAAAAAATCAATAAATGCTCATCATGGGCATCATTTTAATATTCTTTAACACTGGCCAAGGAATATAGAATTCATTGTTTTATTCTACTCCAAATGTATTGTTTCAAGTCGGATTGTAAGCCACCTATTCAAAGATACAAATCCTGGGTTTAAATGATTCATATTCGATAATAAGCCAATGACCCTTTTGGCTAGTCTGCCAAATTTCTCAATAATAGTAAATTCTAAGATGCATAAATCTGATGACTGGTGTAATTCATCAGATTTATGTCATCTAGCAGAAACATATACTTGGGCCATATGCCTTTATCACAAGAAACACTAAAACATATTTAATATTTAAGTTTAAAGGCCAGATACCAAGTGTACTTTGTATGAAAAATATTTTTTTCTAAACATTGAAATGTTTTGTATAATTCCCTGTTTTCTAAATTTTATTGCCACCTTCTGCTATCCTTGCAATCATTCGATATTGTTTTTCTTTTCGCTCATTGCCTAAAAACAGGGAATTATTATTACATTCATGTTTTTAATAAAAAAAGGTTTTAAAGAATAATTATAGCAACGATTTATTTATTTATTTACTATTTATCAAATTCATTTGCTGCTTTTCTAACGGTTGGAGGCGACTCTGATTTAAACAAACAGAAAACATTTTCAAATAATTTTGCTTCCTGCTGGCCTTCAGTTTCAGGCACTGACGTCTTGATATGCTACCTTCCCAGTCATTCTGAAGAGTAGTTGTAACTGCTCCCACGTTACTGAGGGTGCAATTTGTAATCTATTTTCTTGAGCTTCTGCAGCTAAGTCTCATTTTCTAACCCATACTCTGCTTTGCAAAGGTTCTACTTACAGGAGATGAACTAATTAGTTTGATTTGCTCAAGCGCTTCGGATAGGCAGCCTTCTATTTCACAATCGTCCAGAGAAAAGAGTTCCCCAGCACGTGAAAGGTCTTTCTGTTCCAAAACAAGTCTTAGGAGATGATGCATAGTTGATTCTGCCAATGAGATTAAATCAGGTAGGTGGCACTTCTTTGAGTTAAGGCTAGTTGACATATAAATCCATAATGCGCCAGGTATTCCTTTTCTATAAATGCTTCTTCAAATCTCCAGTCCTTTTGGGCCGTGAGCTGAGGAAAACAAAGGACCTCATTAAAAATACAAGTTGATGTACTGACTTGTAAACGAACGTAAAACCATTCATTTAGCAACTATTCAAAGTTACAGCAGAAAAAAGTGACTTAGGACCGCTCCTTATGACCACTTCTCACACTTATGACTGTTACCGCATCCCTATGGTCCTGTGATCAAAATATGGCACTTGGCAACCTACTTGTATTTATGACAGTAGCAGCGTCCTGGGGCCATAGGATCACTATTTGTGACCTTCCCAGCTGGTTTCCAATAAGCAAAGTGGATGGGGGATGCTGGATTCGCTTAATGACTATGCGATTCACTTAACTGCAGTAATTCACTTAACAACCATGGTCCAAAATATCATAAAATCAGATATGGCTCATTAACAACCACTTTACTTAGCAACTTACGGTAGTTAGAAATTCTGATCTCAGAAGTTGAGGACTACCTGTGCTATATTTTTTTTTAAAAAAGAGTTATACGGCACAATATGCTAATCATGTATTTTACATTTTAATATTCCATTGTCAAACTTATTTGAAGACATGCTTAGCTATACAAACTATAACTTTTGAAAGGGTACTTATAGTAAAGGTTTGGAGCAAACCTATAAATAGACCACCTTCACTTTACTTCATATCTGAAATATTCACACCTGAATAAGAGAAATATCCACACCTGAATAACAGAGGTTAGCTTAGTGGCAGCGCTGATTTGGACAATAGTGAGCATAGCCTAGAACAGTGGTTCTCAACCTTTTTAATGCCGCGACCCCCAACCGGTCGTAAGTCGAGGACTAAACCGGTCGTAAGTCGAGGACTACCCAACCGGTCATAAGTCGAGGACTTTCCCTGCCCAGGAGCACCGCGCATGCGTGGTTCTGCCCCCTGCACCAGCTGAGGCGTAGCTGGCAAGCGGCAGAGACGGAGCAGGCCGACCACCAGCTGGCCCAGCTCAAGGGAGGTAAGGCACCCTCCGGAAAAGGGGAAAAAAATGGCGGACAGCCTTGCTTGGCGACCCCCGTGAAATGGTCGATCGACCCCAAATGGGGTCGCGACCCATAGGTTGAGAACCACTGGCCTAGAAGTAGTCCAAGAAAAGTTCCACATGCTTTGAGAGTAAATGAAGGCATGTAAACTCCAATGGCTTATATCTGTGATGTGTAGCAAAGTAACCCTGACTAATGATAACAACCTAATGCAGGGCTCTTCAAACTTGGCCCTTTTATGACTTGTGGACTTCAACTCCCAGAATTCCTCAGCCAGCATGCCTGGCTGAGGAATCCTGGGAGTTGAAGTCCACAAGTCATAAAAGGGCCAAGTTTGAAGAGCCCTGATCTAATGCATTCAGGTTTCATAGGATAACATGAAATCAGAACCATTTCAAAGTCCTTCTTGGGAAAGTAAAGGCTTATCAATTACAGCAAAAACAGTTGAAGGTTTAAATCACCTTATTATGGCCTATTTTACTGAGACTAAAAATTCACTTCATCAGAAGTATGCAATATTACCCTAAGATAGACACACACACACACACATACACACAAACATTCTGTGGATGAACATAGAGATGGCTTTAGAGAAGTTATATGGAGACCTTTAACAAAACATGGTCTTAGTCCATGTTCTTATTTCTTAGCATAAGAAAGAAACTTAGTTTGCCCTGCCTTGATTCTCTCTGGAATAAGACAGAAAGAAAGGGAAACACTGTCAGGCTTGCAAGTTTCTGTTATTCTAGCCTATGTCCACAAAGTAGCCTATATTGTAGTCTAAAATAACAGCAGCCCCCTCAACTGGGGTGGCATATTTTCAGTCATGGATGAGATAGCAGGAAAATAAATAGGAGAATGCAATGAGTTGAATGAAACATAAAACATTAGAGGTATTCTGTGAACTGGGTTGTGGCATATGTGCCATAGGACTGAGTATTATAAAGGGATCAGCTCTCCAGTTCTACTTGTGCCCTAGAATTGCATTATCTCATATTTTACATTTGACTTGTGCCCACTTAGGAACTGAGAGATGCAATAAACTATATTGTATTGTGTATTCCATTGCTAATTAACATGTTTGCCTACTCTCAAGTGGGTAAAAGCTTTGTAATTTCTGAAATGTGCTCTTACCACACCACAGTGGTACCACAGGGCAAGAATAACTATAATAACTTAGCTTCTATACTTCTTTTTCAAGCTCCTCAAGAACGTTTATCTAAGAATAAATTTAATTTTTGAAAATTCTATCCCCTCTTTGTATCTTCCTTTTTGTGTACAAAACGGATAGTGTTCATAGTCTACCATTATTTTAAGAAAAATATATGCCTGTTTGGTAGACATGCTGTATAAAAAGATTCCACCACATATTCCCCATCAACCCATAAACTCACAGTAAGTAATCCTTGGGTTCCAGATGGCACATCAAGAACCTTTTTCTGTTGATCCCATTACAAATCTGCAAACTATATTTCACCTGAGATATCAGTTTGAGGTTTGACTGCAAAAGTGTGAAAATAAGTTTATACAGCTTTCATTAGTTTCACTTGCTGTTGGTACAAAAATATTTTAAAACAACACTAAGCACCATGCTCCATACTAATGATTATAGTGACCAGAAATGCTTTACCAACAAGTTATCATTTACTATGTCATAATTGAGAACCTGCCATCCTTATCCCCACTTTTATACCAAATAGTCATCCACAAATGATTATACAACTTGCTTGGAACAAGCACAATTTTATAATACACATGGCACATATTAATAGATTAGTTTAACGGTCACCAAAATCAGAAATGATAGCCATACAATTTATGTGGTAGAAAAAAATATCACATTCAAAATAGAAATGCTTTGTATATATTGCCAACCATCCTTTAGAAAATAATCTTGTGCAAATATATACAAATTGCAAGCCTCTGTTTTACCTGATTATGACTCCACAGCGTTCACATGAAGATGTTTTTGGATTTTTTTGTAGCTAACAAGAGGTTTGTTTTGCGACTCAGAGTTGAGTGCAGCTTTGACTGTTGCATTTGAGGGCACAAGTGGAAAGTTATAAAATCTACGTTTTAAGCAGTGAACCTGAAGCTCTTAATTACAGGGCCAAGTATAAAGAATTTAAGGAATGCAGACTAAAGTAGTCTAAAAGTTACCAAGAGCTTGATCAGGTGACCAGAAAGAACTAAAAGCAGAGAAGCCTTATATCTGAATGAACGCCTTTGTTCCTGAAATAAAATTTTATAAAAGGCCTTCAACTTGAGCATTTTGTTTTTATGTGGATGAAAGAGTATTATTCTCTGTTGGTGAAAAACTATCCTCTCCTAGGGAGACACCTCAATGAGTTTTTATTGTTCTTTTAAAGAAACCAAATGAATGGCACTGTTGTGGAGAAGACCACTTTAATCTCTAAAGAATAAATTTGCTAGGAATACAAAGTGTGCCCATAGTTACTCATACCTTCCCTTATAAACATTTATAAATAAGATCTTCAAATTACTGACATTAATAATAAATGTTCTGTACAGTGTGAAATCATTTTATCCGTTTTTAGATAAATATACATTTCTGTATATATGTGCTTTTTTGTGTTTTCTATCAAGTCAAAATGAATTATTGCAAACAGACCCATTATGATGGGATTATCAGTTGGATAAGAAGCAGGAACCTAAAACACAAGAGGGAGGGCATTCAAAAGCAAAACCTAGATTTTGTTTCTTTTTATAACTAGTGGTGCTAGATGTGATCTATTGTGTTTTATTTTTTTCCAGCTTAATTCCCCTGTAACTATATGACACTCACTTAGAAGAACTAGAAAAAGGAAACTGATAAAGTAAAAATGATCTGTCATGGCCATCATGATACATTTCAGGCTGTGAAAAAGAGAAAATCCTTTACATGCAAATCTACATTCTAAATTTTAATTATTTGCTTTATTTTTATTTTGTTTATCCGTCTGTTATAACCTCAGAGCACAGAAAACATTATTTCATATACCAGCTTCATTCTTCCAGAAAGGTTTTGCCAAGTAATAGGGCAGGAAAAAAATATTTTTGCCGTGTCTTATGCCGCGTCTTAGTAATTAGTGCACTAGGCAGTTTCATAGGGAGAGAAGTCAGAGGTGAACATTCCAGAATTACAATGCATTGCCAAATGTGGTTTATTCAAACTTTCCCCAATACTTAACTTACAACTATCTTCACAACAAAAATAACTCTTCTTATTAACTGCCTGTATGACATCATGAGCATTTTTTCAAAAAATACATTTTTATCTTTTCTGGTCTGAAATTTTCTTTGCCTTAAGGAGAACATATTCACTTTATTTTGTCTTAGGTCTTGAAGGAAGCTTTTGTTCTAGATATATGCATGGGGCAACTTCACGTAAAGCTGTGTCAGAGAATGGAATGGTTTCCTCACCACTGTGGCAGTCAGAATTAAGGTTCCAAATCACAGTAAGGAACGATGAACTCTCCCTCATTCTTGCTATCTTATTCCTTCTTCCAGCATTCAGTATATTGCCTGGTGTTCAATATATAGCACTGCAGTCCTAAGTACCCAATTTTACTTAGGCTTCCCAAACTAATTCTTGAGTTCTCTCTGCTAAAATTATAAGTCATGGATTGGAGAATACCTCATGTTACTCAAGACATGGATGTCAAACATACAATTTTATATATTTTCTGAGAGCATCATGCCATCAGAATTTTTGTTCTACCTAACTCATAAAAAAAACACCACTGCCAGGCTGCTGTAAGAAGACACTCCCTGATTGATTTCCTTATGCCTATTATGAGTGCCATTTAGAAGATAATATACTTGCTATCATGTGAAGTTTAAAATGGTAACCAACAATTCTCATGCTGGAGGCAATCATTATGTAAACATACAAATTCTTGACTTCAAGGACACAAGGCATAATATCTGGTTATTTGTAAGATAGAATCAGGAAGCCCCAAGTAAAGGCAATAAAACTCATGCAACCTTCTCATT